AGTCCTCACGCTTTTTTTTTCCCGAAGCAGCTCTATTTTTTCTAGTTTTATTGAGATATAATTGACATATAACATTGTGTAAGTTTCAGGTGTACAACATGATTAAAGTGATTAATAGAAATGTTAGTTAACACATCTATCACCTCACATAGTTACAGTTTTTTTGGCGGGGGAGGATGAGGAAAATGGGTGAAGATGGTCAAAGGGGACAAATTTCCTGTTTACCTTTGAGGCTGCCTTCTTGATATTGAAGAAAATTTGATACCACACTGTGCTAGCCTGCTGCTGACCTACAGCCTCTGGGGACTTCAGCTCTACAGTACTTTTCTTCGTTTTGCTCCCTTTCCCTCCCACTCGTCCTTTTTCTTTTCTTTTCCCTTCTTTTTTAGAAATCAGCTTTACTGAGGTATAATTTACATATATAATAGAAGTCACACATTACAAGTGTGCAGGTTGATACTTTTTTTTTTGGCACATGTAACCCATATAACCACCATTCCAATCAAGAAACAGAACATTCTCATCTCAGAAAATGCCGTCGTGCCCCTTTGTAGTGAATCTACCCACCCCCCACCTTTTACCCCAGGCAGCCACTGTTCTGATTTCTATCATTGCAGATTAGTTTGTAAATGAAATCATAAAGTATGTATTCTTTATTTTTCTATGGTTTCTTTTACTAAGCATAATTATTTTGAGATTCATCCATATGGCTGCATATATGAGTAGTTAATTCCTTTTTATTGCTTAATAGCATTCCACTGAATGAATATATCACAGTTTATCCATTTATCAGTTGATGGACATTTTTGGCTATAATGAATAAAGCTGCTGTGAATACTTATGTATACATTTTTTTTAAACGACTTAGGTTTTCATTTCTCTTGGGGGAAATACCTAGGAGTGGATTTGCTGAGATATAAAGTGCCTTTGTAACCAGGTTTCAATAGATTGTCTAGAGTATTTCCTTCCTGGAGGACAGGTTTTGAAAAGCACAAATTCTTAATTTAAGAAACAATAGCAGCTGGGCTGGAGGGTTTCCTAGAACTGTCCCGCCTGATTCAGAAAAAGTTTCTCTTCTTGGCAAGCACCAGCGCCATCCATAATAGAAGGTGACTTAACATGGGAATAGCAGAAAGTTGAGTGGTGTTAAAGGATTTTGTACCAAGACAATTTAGCCCAGTTTTCCTTCTCAGCGTTTGGGGTATTTCTTCTTAACGAATGGTACCTACTTATCAAGCTTTGTAACTCCCTTTCCTATGGTTAATTTGGAGACAGTTCTCCTTTTTCTAGATTTCTAACATCTTTGTATTTGCTATTATATAAATACCCTTATGGTCTATTAAAATATACAAGTTTATACTTTAAAAAATCTATGATGATGGTTAGGGAGGTAGATATTAACTAATTTGTTTCATTAAATATTCAGAAGTCAGTTAGAATCTATACTCTAGACCAGCCCTACAGTAGAAATGTAATAGGACCTACAAATGTAATTTAAAAATAATTTCTAGCAGCCATATTTAAAAAGTAAAGAGAAACAGGTGCAATTATTTTTAATAGTAATAATTTTAATTCTATGTTTTAGCCTCACATATCAAAAATATTTCAACATGTAATCAATATATGAAATTACTGAGATATTCTACATTCATTTTCTGAATACTAAATTTTCGAAATCCGGTATATGTTTTACAGTTATAGTGCATCTCAATTTGGTCTAACCCCATTTCAAGTGCTCAATAGCCACATGCGGTGGCCCGTTAATTAATTAATTAATTAATTAATTAATTTTGGCTGCTAATTTAGACTGCAGATCTAGACTAAAAGCTTTACTAGGAGAAGTCACTCAAGGTAATACACTTGCATTGAATCTCAAAGTACTTTATTTAGAAGCCTCCGTGAACTACTTTTTCCCCTTCCTTTAAATGCCACAATTGGATCCCCAGATTAGGAATAGCACAGTTATTAGGAAGTGTCCCAAGAGAGGGTCACACAGTTCAGAGTCATGAGCATAATTTTATATGGCCTGTGCAGAAATCTTACTGAGATACTTGGTGAAGTCACCTGGTATGCACATATTAGGTAGAAATAATAGAGTTTATGAACTGAAGAGGTGGAGGAACTTAAGAATTTAACATTCATAGTATGTTATACAATACGTTTCAGGCTTTGGCCTCTGTATACATTTCTAAGGTGTTTCCTGTAATTTTCCTTTACCCTTTTCCCCAGTCAGACATAACCACTTATGTTTATTTGAACCCACTGTGCTTTTCCATACCTCTGTGCTTCTTTCTCTGGTATGTTGCCTGGCAAATTTCCAACTCATCCTCAGGGCCCACCTCAAATAGCACCTCAGTGAAGCCTGTCCTGCCATCCCTATATCAATTCTCAAATGAGCAGAGTTACAGTCCTTCCTTTATATTTCTGTAGCATCTGGTATTCACAGTACATATTGTGAATTTTTAAATTTTAATTTCCCCTAATAGAGTGATCCGCTTGATGGCATAGATTCCTTTACTTATCTTTGTATTGCTAGTGAGATGCCCAGTATCTGCCTGATACCAGGTATTTAATAAATGTTTGTTGGAGTAGGTTTGAAAAGGAGGAATGTAGACACCAGCCAGAACAGAGAGAGTGCAATTGTCTTGAATTCTGTTCATGCTGTGCTACCAGTAGCTTTGATCTTGGGTAAGTTAATTAACTTATCTATGCTTTATTTTAATCAACTGTAACATGAGAGTGTTAGTAGAATCTTAAGGGGACTTGTAACTCTAAAATTTAAATTGATAGATAGCTGTGTGTTCACATATATCTTGTGTGGAAATGACTGTTAAGCTCTACAAAGGAGGGAACTGTGTCTTATTTACATTGTATCATTGGGGCTTAGCAAAATACTTTATTATCATTAAATGTTTATTAGAGGAATGAAAGAAAGAACTCTTGTCTGTTTTATTCATACTGCTCACAGAATAGCAACACTATCACCAGGGATGACCCTATATATTTCTGAGGATGATTTGGAAATGCACATGAACTCAGATAAAGCTTTCCTGGATTATTATATCACCATCAAAAACAATTCATAGGATGCCTAATTGTTTATGACATTTGATATCTCCATCAAAAACAATTCATAGGATGCCTAATTGTTTATGACATTTTGCTTAGCAATCTTCTAAATAACTAGTACATTCTATTAGGAATGAAAAGGCTAAAGATACCTTGTGTGGAAAATTAGCCTTCTTTCTTTTGATTTTATTAAACTTTTGACCTCTTTTGCAACCAAATTTTATTTGCTGTGTATTGTGTGTAGATTTTAGTAGTATAGAAATAAGAAACCACAGAGATCTTTGAGTCAGCTTAGACTTCTTTCTTCCTTTAAGTACTTCTTTGCTAAGAGTTCCTAAATGTACTTAGTCTAGCTAATCCACTTCAGCTTTAATCCACCTGTGTTGCAGTCTATCTACTGTATTCCCAATCTTCCCACATATTGTTTCTGGTCTGACTTAGATACGAGTCTACTGGGCAAGTGTCTTGGATAAGTCCTTCCAATGCCTAGTACATTGTTAACACTCAGTAAATGGAAATTAATTAAAGTCATTTAAATAGGTAGAAATAGCCTTTGGAATCCATGATACTAAAACAAAACAGGTCTTAACCGAATAGAATATTCTTGGTCCAGAACAGCAGGGCTCAGCTTCAAAGGGTAACAGATTGTAATGAGAATAAAAGAACAATATGTACAGATTGTTTTTTTGCCTCTTTGGTCAGGTTTTTATTCAAAATTATCTGTTATATACAGATATTTTATAAAGTAGATGCCTAGGGACAGGATTGGATGAACTGGCAAATTGATTTTGGTTACGGGCCTCGCTTTTCCGGGAGTGTGAAAGATATAAAGTACCTAGATTCATTGCAACATTGACACAATGTGTATTTCGTTGAGAGCACTGAGTTGTGGCTCTTTTGAGACACTCCCTCTACTGATGTAGTTTGTTCAGTGTCAGTACAGTTTTATCCTTTAGTCTCTAAAGTTTAGTTCTAAATGTGACTGGGTATGTTTCCTCACCAGAATCAAGCTGAAAATGTATTTTGATTAGCATGATCTTGTCAGCTCTTCCCTTTTGATCCCCCCCAATTTCCCTCCAGAACTTTACAGAAATTTATCTCCTGATGAGCCAAAGTTTAGGTTTGCTCCAGTCCCTGAGCCAGCTCTATCCAGGGCAGAAAAAATAGCAGTATTGTAGAGCAGAGAAGAGATTGGTTTAGAATGAAGCCATTCTGGCCATCAGGTTTGAGATTTCAGATGCTAGGGGCGTAATTTAGGTAGCTGTTGAGCTTCGGAGCTGTATCATTTCTGCTTGTCATGATTTTTGTGGCGTTGGACTGCTCTGCATCCTTTCCTAGTTGCCTTCCAGGTCCAAGGGTGCTGCTTAGGACCATGCGTTGCTGCGAATAGTTCTCTTGAAACTGTGGTGTATGCAGTTCCATCTGACTTCTGCATTATGTCTCGCTGCTTGGATTCTCTTGTACCCTATCCAGTTTTGTCGGTTGGGATCTCCTAGAACACTGTATGAGAAAAATGATCATCTCTCTGACCTTAGATAGAAAATACGATTTACAGTGCGATTTCAGTCTGTGACTAAACCTGTTTGCCATGAATTTGCCCTTTTGACACTGCTTGGATAATTCAAAGCGGCCTCTTCTGGAAAAGTTTTTCTTAGCCCACAATCAGAATTATAGCATAGCACTCTGATTCTTCCCTCCTTGCTGTTTTTCAGTTGTCTCAGAGTCCTGGCATGTCACTTGTTCCAGGCTCTTCCCGACAGAGCTAGTATAGTGGAAAGTATAGGATTTCAAGTGAGAAAGCCAGAGTTCAGGTGCTAGCTTGCTCCTTTCTCTTTGTGTCACCTTTAAGAAGTCGCTATACTTTGTAAATCTCAGTTTCCACATCTTACAAAAATATCTCCATTACAGAGTAGGTTGATGATTAAATGAGAATGCATATGGAAAGCTTTGAGGCTATAGAGCAGTATGCAAATATTAATTTTATTGTCAGTTTTGGTTCTTTTCTCACAAAGGAAATTGCAGGTAATCATTGTGGCTGGGACCAAAATCTCGAATTGACCCTGGTAAGTCTTTGAGCTGCTTTGGCTTTTGAATGACTGGTTGAGCTTATGGAGGTCACAGACTTGGCAGGACTGTTGATAAATTTTTTTTTCCATGTTGTAGCAGAAGCTCTCTTCCTCAAGGACAGGGAAAAATGTTTATTTTTTATTATACTGTGCCTACGATGCTGTCTACCTAATCAGAATTAATGAGTACTGATTAACACAGCCATCTCAATAGTGTGGCCACTCCAGTTTTAACAGGATGAATCTCGTTTAAATTATATTGACTGAAATCATGTTGTAAATCACAGTTTATTTCAGTAGCCAGGAAGATAATTTAATCATTTTCTTTCAAAATGTACAATCTTGCTCAATATAACCTTAATACAGCATGTTGTCTTTGGATCTCAGGAATAGGCTATATTTATAGAAGCTCTTTTATGAGCTTCTGCCAGAAGCAGGTCTCTTTCATAGCATAACTCAGCCATTCAGCTGTGCTGTCTCTGCTACTTACCCGGCTTTGCTGACTGCATTTTACCCTAAAGACCTGCAGTGCTGTCATTGCCTCAGCTTGTGTCAATCAGATTGCTCAACTGAATGACACTGAAAATATGTTTTGAAAGAACTAGAATTATTTTGACAATGAATTACATAAAACATTAAGAGAATATTCACAAATCAAAATTAATGCCTTCACGCAGTCTCATATACTGTGTGACTAGAAGTTATAATTGTTATCCTATGAAGATATCTTTGGATTTTTTGAAAAGAAGGAACTCAAAACTTTATATTGTTTTTTTCAAAAACAATTTAAAGCAATCTTTTAAATATTTGCATTTTTAAAAACACCAGTTTCAAAACTCTCTTAATTTTAAATTGAGGTATAATCGACATGCAACATTAGATTAGTCTCCGGTGTTCAACATAATGATTTGATATTTGTATATATTGCAAAACGGTCACCACACTAAGTCTAGTTACCATCTGCCACCACATGTAGTTACAAAGGGTTTTTTCCTTGTAAAGAGAAGTTTTACCATCTACTCTCTTAGCAACTTTCAAATATGCAATACGGTATTATTGACGATGGTTGCCATTTTGTATGTTACATCCCCATGAATTATTTATTTCATTGCTGGAAGTTTGTACCTTTGACTGCCTTCGCCTGTTTTGCTCACACCGGAGCCCCTCCCCTGCCACCTCTGCCTGGAACCAATATGTATCTACAAGCTTGGTGTTTGTTTGTTTGTTTTAAGATTCCACATATAAGTGAGATTATATGTTATTTGTCCTTCTGACTTATCTCACTTAGCATAATGCCCTCAAGGTCTGTCCATGTTGTCACAAACGTCAAGATTTCATTCTTTTTTATGCTTGAATAATATTTTATTGTATATTTACCACTTAAAAAAATTAAACTTATTGAGGTGACATTGGTTACTACATAAGTTTCAAGTGTACGGCTCTTTAATACGTCATGTGTATATTGCATTGTGTGCTCACCGCCCAAAAGTATAGTCTCCTTTTGTCATATATTTGGCCCCCTTGACCATCTTCATCTCCCCACCGCACCTTCCCCTCTGGGAACCGCCATATTGTTGTCTGTGTCTATGAGTTTGTTTTAATTGTTGCTTTCTGTTTTACATCCCACATGTGAGTGAAATCATGGTTCTTGCCCTTTTCCATCTTATTTTGCTTAGCATGATATTCTTAAGATCCATCCACATTGTCTCAAATGGCAGTATTCCATCCTTTATTGTGGCTGAGTAGTGTTCCATTGTATTTATGTATCACGTCCTTATCCATTAATGGACACTTAGGTTCTTTCTATATCTTGGCTACGGTGAGTAATGCTGCAGTGAACACAGGGATGCATATATCTTTAGGAATAAGTATTTTCAATTTTTGAGGGTAAATACCCTGGAGGGGGATTGCCGGATCATATGGTAGCTGTATTCTTAATTTTTTGAGGAACTTCGCACTATTTTTCATAGTGGCTGCACCGTTTTACATCCCTACCAGCAGTGTATGAGGATTCTTTTTTCACTACATACTCTCTAACACTGTTTAGAAAATGGTGACATCATTTGTACAGATTGAGTAACTGGCTTATGTTATCACTAATTGGGCATGTCATTTTTTTCTCACAAAATAAGGTCAGATCTTCAGAGACAGGATAAGTTAGCTATGTCTGTCTAATGCTTGAAACTATTAATAAGTATTTGTTTTACAGGGCACATGTCTAAGTCTCTCTTCAGAATTTCTATATTTTCTAATTTTGAAGACATTATTAATTTCTATTTTGTAGTTTTAAGATGACATTACTATTTGTGAAGTCGATGCTTTTTACTTACTGAGAATGAGAATAATGACTATTATAGATAAGTGATTCCCAGGGAATATAACTTTTATTTGAAAATTGTGCTGTACCTTTAGCTAAGAGAAACTTTTCCTCCAGTTTGTTTTTACTCTAAGGATCATTCAAAGTCTCTTCGTGCTATATTCATTTGACCAAAATCTAGCAATAGAGTTCAAAACGATTTGCTGCTTTTAGCCAGTGGTGATAGTTCACGGAATTTTCTCATCCATTGTCATTTCAGAAATTATCAAAAACCTCATTGTGAGTGATCATTTGCCTAACATGCCTGAGGCAATTGATAGACTCTTCATGGACATAGAAAATATCAACAGGGATTCTATGGCTGACATACAGGATGCTCAGGTTGGTATAAAAATAATTTCGTTTGATAAGTTTTGATGATTGATCATTTTAATTAATGGATAAGTAAATGGGCTTCATGATTAACCATTGCTAAATACATAGAAATCTGTTTTTGGATTTTCAAGCCTAATGGTGCATTTAGGGAAAATAATTTTAGAAACCAGTGGAAAAATATCTGCTCAAGTTTAACCTTTACGATTTAACCTCTCTAGGCTTCAGTTTTCTCATTTGTTAAAGGAGAATAATAAAACCCACCTCAGCATTGTAAACAAATAACATATTAGATGCTGGTTACGTACTAGTTTGTCACTAAATAATAGTTCTCTCCCTTTTGCAGCCAAGTAAGAAAGTACCTGGTAGTAGGGAACTCAGCTGAGCGTAAGCCTCCAGGGGCACTTTTCGAGGTGGGGGGGTGTATTTTTTCTGGTATTTAAATGAGGGTCTGTCATTTAATTTGGAAATTGCCCTGAGGTTCTGAAACACTTCTGGGAACACTGACTTCGGGCAAATCCCTCCATTTTGCAGAGCGCACATACGGAAAGGTGAGAATAAAATTTATTGTAAATCTTTCCCTTTTTTACATATAATAGCTTTATTTAGATATAATCACAAACCACATAATTTACCCATTTCAAATGTACAATTCAGTGAATTTTAGTATTTCACATTTGTGCGCCCATCACCACATTAGTTTTAGAACATTTTCATCACCCTCAAAAGAAACAGGTTGCGCCTGTTCTCGGACATTCTCCATTTCTTCCCCTCCTCCCAGCCCGGAGTCCTCTCATCTACTTTCTGTCTCTGTGGGTTTGTCTATTCTGGGAATTTTCTGTAAATGGAATAATACAATATGTGGTCTTTTGTGGCTGACTTATTTTGCTTAGCATAATATTTTCGAGGTTCTTCAATTTCGTAGCATGTATCTGTACTTCATTACATTTTATGGCTGAATATTACTCCATTATTTGGATATACCACATTTTGTATATCCATCTGTTGATGAACATTTGGGTTGTGTTATCCTTTTATCTGTGATGAGTAATGCTTCTGTGAACATTCATGTACAGGTTTTTGTGTTTTTGTTTCTCTCGGGTATATATCTAGGAGTGAAATTCCTGGTTCATATGGTAACTTTGTTTAAATTTTTGAGGAACTGCCAGATTGTTTTCCAAAGCGACTGCACCATTTTACATTTCTGCCAGCATTGTATGAAGGATCCAATTTTCCCACATCTTCACTGATACTTACTTATCCGTGTTTTGAATTATAATCATCCTAGTGGGTGTGAGTTGGTGTCTTGTTTTTTATTTTTAATTGTGGCAAAATATATATAATATGAAATTTACCCTCTTAACTATTTTTAAATGTAAAGTTTAAATGTTAAGTACACTCACTTTGTTGTGCAACCAATCTATACAACTCTGTTCATCTTGCAAAACTGAAATTTTCTACCTATTAAACAACAACTCCCTATTCCCCTCTTCCTCCAGTCCCTGGGTACCACCATTCTGCTCTCTGTCTGTATAAATTTGACTACTCTTGGTACCTCATACAAGTGGAATCATACAGTATTTGTCTTTTTGTGAATGACGTATTTCACTTAGGATAATATCCGTAGGTTCATCTACGTTGTAGCATATATCAGTGTTTACTTCCTTTTAAAGGCTGAGTAATATTGCATTGTATATATTTTGTTTATTTATCATTCCATGGACACTCGAGTTGCTTCCACCTTTTGACTCTTGTGAATAATGCATCTATGAACATGGATGTTCAAATAACTGTTCCAGTCCTAGCTTTCAATTCTTTCGGATATATACTTTGAAGAGGAATTGCTGGGTCATATGGTAGTTCAATTTTTTTTTTTTGAGGAATCTCCGTACTGTTTTCCATATTAGCTGTACCATTTTACATTCCCATCAACAGTGCACAAGGGTTCCAATTTCTACACATCCTCGCTTGTTATTTCTGTTTTTTTTTTTTTTTTGATAGAAGTCATTCTTGTAGGTGTGAGGTGGTATCTCATCATGGTTTGATTTGTGTTTCCCTGATAGCTAATGACGTTTAGCATCTTTTTATGTGCTTATTGGCCTTTGGTATATTTTCTTTGGAGGAATGTCTGTTAAGATCCTTTGCCAGTTTTTAAATTGAGTTGTTTTTTTATTATGAGTAATAGGAGTTCTTTACATATTCTAGATTCATTATTAATAGCTAGAGACTAGTAAAGATCCTGTATATAGGCTGTCTTGCTGAGATTCCCCACCCCCCCCATTCTGGAGCTGCTGTGCTGATTTCTTTTTTAAAAAATTATTTTTCAATTACAGTTGATGTACAATATTATATTAGTTTCGGGTATACAACATAGTGATTAGACATTTACATAATTTATGAAGTGATTCCCCTGATAAATCTAGTACTCATCTGACATCGTACATGTTCATTACAATATTATTGACTATATTCTTTATGCTCTACTCTTCATCCCCATGACTATTTTGTGACTGCCAATTTGTACTTCTTAATCCCTTTCTTTTTTTTCACTCCTCAACCTGAAAACCAAAAAAACGTTCTCTGTATCTATAAGTTTTTCCGTTTTGTTCATTCATTTATTTCTTTAGATTCTGCATGTAAGTGAAATCATATGGTATTTGTTTTTCTCTAATTTATTTCACTTAGCATGATACCCTCTAGGTCCATCCATGTTATCACAAATGGCAAGATTTCATTCTTTTTTATGGCTGAGTAATAGTCCATGTACTACCTCTTTTTTATCCAATCTTCTATCGATGGACGCTTAGGTTGCTTCCATATCTTGGCTATTATAAATAATGCCGCAGTGAACATAGAGATACACGTATCTTTTCGAGTTAGTGTTTTGGATTTCTTTGGATAAATACCCAGAAGTGGAATTGGTGGGTCATATGGTAGTTCTGTTTTTAATTTTTGAGGAACTTCCAAACTGTTTTCCATTGCGGCTGCATGAATTTACATCCCCACCAACAGTGCACAAGTGTTCCCTTTTCTCCACATCTTTGGCGACACTTGGGTTTGTTGATTTATTGCTGATAGCCATTCTGACAGGTGTGAGGAATGTCTCATTGTGGTTTTAATTTGCATTTCCCTGATGATTAAGTGGAGTTTGAGCATCTTTTCATATGTCTATTGGCCATCTGTTTATGTTCTCTTTGGAGAAATGCTTGTTCAGGTGTTCTGCCCATTTTTTAATTGGATTGTTTATTATTTTGTCGTTAAGTTGTATGACCTCCTTATGTATTTGGGATATTAACAACTTATCAAATGTGTCATTGGTGAATATCTTCTCCCTTTTTGTAGGTTGTTTCTGTTTTACTGATGGTTTACTTTGCGGTGCAAAAACTTTTTAGTTTGATGTAGTCCTATTTTTAAGTTTTTTACTTTTTTTCCCTTGCTTCAGGAGATATATCAGAAAAGATATTACTAAGAGCAACATCAGAGAGTTTACTGCCTATATTTTCTTCTAGGAGTTTGATGGTTTCAGGTCTTACATTTAAGTCTTTAATTCACTTTGAGTTTATTCTTTTATATGGTGTAATAAAGTGATCCAGTTTCATTCTTTTGCATGTATCTGTCCAGTTTTATCAACACAATTTATTGAAGAGGTTGTCTTTATCCTATTGTATATTCTTTTTTTTTAAAGACTGTGTATAGGATTTTGAGCCAAATTGATAATTGTCAAGATGCAGGATCTCAAATGCTTCTCCTATTGAATGCTCTTGCTTCCGTTGTCATAGATTAATTGGCCATATAGGCACGAGTTTATTTCTGGGCCCTCTGTAGTGTTCCATTGATCTATCTGATTGTTTTTATGCCAGTACCATTGCTGTTTTGATTACTATAGCCTTGTAAAATAATTTGATATCAGGTAGCATGATACTGCCAACTTTTTCTTTTTCAAGATGTCTTCAGCTGTTTGGGGCCTTCTGTGGTTCCATATAATTTTAGGATTATTTGTTCTAGTTCCGTGAAAAATGCCATTGGTATTTTGATAGGGATTGCATTGTTCGAATCTGTAGATTGCTTTGGGTAGTACGGACATTTTAATGATGTTGATTCTTCCTATACATGAGAACTGTATATGCTTCCATTTATTTGTATCTTTTATTTCTTTCTTCAGTGGCTTATAGTTTTTTGAGTACAGGTCTTTTACCTCCTTGGTTAAATTTATTCCTAGATATTTTGTACTTTTTGACAATTGTAAATGAGATTGTTTTCTTAATTCTTCTTTCTGAGAGTTCATTATTGGTGTATAAAAATGCAACTGATTTCTGAATATTAATTTTGTATCCTGCTACTTTACTGATTTGTTTATGGTTCTCATATTTTTTTGTGGATTCTTTAGGGTTCTCTATATGTAGTAACATGTCATCTGTAAACAATGACAGTTTTACTTTTTTTCTTTCCATTTGGATGATATTTACTTCTTTTTCTTATCTGTTTGCTGTGGCTGTGACTTCTAAAACTATGTTGAATAAAAATGGTGGAAGTGGACATCTTTGTTTTGTTCTTAATCTTAAAGAAAAAGCTTTCATCTTTTCATCATTGAGTATGATGTTAGCTGTGGTTTTGTTACATACAGCTTTTATTATGTTGAGATATGTTCCCTCTATCCCCACTTTGCTGAGAGTTTTTATCATAACTGGATCCTCAATTTTGTCAAATGCTTTTTTGCACCTATTGATGTGACCATATGATTTTTATCCTTCATTTTGTTGATGTGGTGTATCATATTACTTGATTTATGGATATTGAACCAGCCTTGCATCCCAGGAATAAATCCCCCTCGATCATGTTATATGATCTATTTAATGTAGTGCTGAATTCAGTTTGCTAATATTTTGTTGAGAATTTTTGCATCTGTGTGCATCAGGGATATTGGCCTATGATTTTCTTCTTTTGTGTAGTGTCTTTGTTTGGTTTTGTCATCATGGTAATGCTGGCCTTGTAAAATGAGTTTAAGAGTCTTTCTTCCTTTTTAATTTTTTGGAATAGTTTGAAGATAGGATCAATTCTTCTTTGAATGTTTGGTAAAATTCACCTGTGAAGCCATCTGGTCCAGGGCTTTTATTTGTTGGGAGATTTTTGATTACTGATTTGATTTTGTTAGCAGTTGTTGGTCTATTCAGATTTTCTGATTTTTCCTGATCGAACCTTGGAAGATTGTACATTTCTAGGAATTCATCCATTTCTTCCATGTTGCATGACCACTATTTTAAATGGCTGAATAATATTCCATATAGTGCATTTTTTCATAATTCATTTATATATTTCTTTATTATTGATATTTGTATTGTTCCCAATTTTACATGATGTGAGGAACACTGTTAAGTGCAAATATCATCCCTTCAACATTTTGGATTGTATCCGTAGGAAAAATAGCGTCTTAGAAAAGCAATTAGTGTATCAAAAGATATGAACATTTTTTGCCTTTTTTTTTAACATTGTCAAATTGCTTTCCAAAATACCAAAAATGGCAGCTTCTTTATGTTGTTTTACACTGGATGTTTATTTTTCCCCCTAAATAACATTTGTTCCTCTGGGAAATTTGGAGCCAAATATTAACTCCATGTGTTTTTGATGAAACAAATCAAATAATTCTTCATGTGAAAGTCATCATTAGGTCAGCTGTGGCATGGGGATACTATGTGAGAGAGATGGAGATGAGCATGAGAATTAGCCCCAGACTAGTTAGTGAAATGATAGCAATGTGGAATGATGTGTTTAAAGGGAAGTGCATCAGAAAAATGTAGAACTGTGAGAAGAGTGACACTTAGAGAAAATAATTAAAACTAAAATATAATTGTGCACCTTTATCGTACATAAACTTTTTTTTTCGTTTGTCCAGTTAGTATTCCTCTTAGTCATATTACTACCAATGTGTTTATTCTAAGATAATGGTATAGGGCTTCTGTCTAGTCACCCTGGGAGACTTAGGCCAAAGCTATGCCATACTGGTTTGCAGCAATAGTACCAACCAGGATGAATTATTTTCTTCAGAGGTCTCTGCCAGAAACCAGCCGGTCCTAAATTACACATTTTTGTGTTTTCATTTTATCCTTGAGACACTATGAGCTTGATTTATTTTTACATCTAGTCGACTAGGTTCCATGTGATAGAAAGATATACACCAAAAGAAGCTGCTAGAAACTTTGTCCCCTAATCTGTAGAGCAAAACGTAAATAGAACAGCAAATTTTATTATTTGAGTTTGTAGTCTTTCTTTATCCCTCTGGTAGGTACTCTGAGTGCTGTATAAGTTGTATGACACATGAACTTTGATATCAAGGAGCCTAGTTGGGAAACAAAAATAAAACAAATAATTAAGGAATAAATGATACAAAATAGCATAATTGCTCAATTATGTGAAACTTAATGAATGTAGAAATTCAAGGAAGATAGAGATCAGTGTAGACTGTAGTGGTTGCTGAAGGCTTCACGGATGTTCCTGGTGAGACTGACCTGGGTTTTAGTTACATAAAGGGAATGGGAGAATGTATATCTATCAAGAGCCACCAGTACGAGTATAAAGGTGCGTAGATAGGAATGAACAAGTTGTGTTTGTGGGACAGCATTAGATAATCAAACTTAACATTGGGTAAGTTTAGGGGAGGAAAGGTAGAATGTGATTAGGTTATCGAGGTCCTGTAAATGATGCACAATAGTCACATAAGCATACGACATGCAAGAAAGAATATATCTTTGGAGAGGGATGGTATTTTAACAGGCTAAGAAAATGTTTCTCTTGTCCAGGTTGAAGAAATGGCAATAAACCTGTGGAATTGGGCAGTTACCAAGAAAGTAAATTTGGTTATAAATGACGACCAGAAAGCTAAATGTATGTATATATTTCGTGATTCATATTGTGAGAAATATTATACATCAGGTTATGTTCCTGCAGTTTAAATAATATTTTGACCACTTTTCACATAGAAATTTGTTAAAACAAGACTAAGGAAAACAACCCGTAAGCATGCTTTGTCAAGCAAACAGCCTCCCTCGGTTTTATGATTTTTTCAGAAATCAGCTCCATCTTAATAAAGTTTAAAAGCATCATTGCAAGAAATAGTCTGGTGGTGAATAGCAAAGATAATTAAAGGATGTGGAAATGAGAACTTGAGGAAACATTAAAGAACACGGATCATTTTCTCTGGAGAATAGATGATCTGGATTCTGAAGGACCATCAAGGAGTAGTTTCCTTTCTCCATTAATAATGGAAAGAAAAATGTTGCTGTGAAAGAGATTTAAATTTAAAAATCTGTAAAGAATAGTTTCCTAATGAGGTTAGTTGATGAACATTGGATTGAGTTACTGAGAAAAGCTAGAGAAGTTTTTTTTCTACCTGTGAAAGCAAACAACAACAACAAAGCAAAACCCAAAACCAAAGTCATCCACTTGGACACATTCATTAAATGTGGTTCACTGGGAGAGTTCTAATGCTTTACCTAAATGGGCAGGGTCTAGTGTGCTGAGAGTTGCTGAGTTCTAGCAAGGATGATGACAGTTAATGCAATTTGGGAAATGATATCGTCCAATTATAAAAGATACATTGAGGCGACAAAACAAAGGATACATTGAAGCGGTCTCTGGACCACTCAGCTTTGTAAAAACAATTGAATTTTGTCTGTATGCAACAGTAGAATTTATTACTAAGTATGTATCTTTATGAGTATGAACCCAATTGTATACAACTTTCATGTAGGTGTAGGGTAATTAGTGTCAACAATATAGTTACTCATTAGTCCATTCTTCTAGTAGGATGTTTTGAGAACAGTTCTATCTCTTTAAGTCAGATAAATGTTGATATCATGGCTCCTAGGAGCCTTAGATCCTATAGTTATGGGGAGGGAAAAAATTAGACATTTATCTGTAGAGAGACTTAGTACACAGGTGAACTGAGCGATATTAAAATGCATCAATTCTAAACACCTGCCGTTCTGCACATTGTGGGACCAGCATTGTTCCGGTAGTGTTTCACCGCTTGTCAAGTAGCAGGGATCTGGTAGGTGAAGTGGAAGCTGCAGCCCTAGGACTTGCTCAGTGTGCTGACCCTGTGCATGTAGCACTTCTTAATCAGACGTTTGGGTGCTTATTATGTGTACGGTACTTTTAAAATTCTGGAGAAAACAGGATGTGGTGCAGGAAGATTTTAAAGAGTTTTATTCCAAAAGTATGTTGATTGGAAGATATTTTTTCTCCTTATGAACAAATTCAGTGTGTAGATTATGTCATGTGATGAAAAAAGTCATCAAGATTTACAAGGTACAAATTTTTATTATTGGGAAGAATTATGGAACAATGAGCAAAAATAAGAAATCCAGAAATAGAGGAATGACTTGTAAATTTGAGTTTTAGACCTGATTGAGGTGACAGTAAGGTTGGAGAGATAAGAAAAGGGTCAAGCTGCCTATAGATTTGGTAGTTATTCACTTGGAGGTGATTGTTGAAGCCACAAGTGTCGTCGAGTTCTGTGAGGGAGAAAATAAAGAGCAATAGTTTTTAAATATTGATATAAATGAGAGTCACCTATGGAGCCTGTTAAAATACAGATGCCTAGGTCCCACTATTGGTGGTTTTGACTTAATAGATTTATGATGAAACCTGGGCATATCTGTAGTTTGAAAAAAAAATTCTCAGGAATCCTCATGCATACCAGTGGTGCTGAGAGAACACAGTAGTGACATTTTAACCTTGACTCTTCCAGAAATGGGAAGAAAAAGAGCAAGGATAGGAGACCAGAGAGGACAGTGAAAATATTCTGGAGGAGATTCACTATGTATTTATCGAGTACAGATTCCTTACAGTGTTGACATAACATGTTATGGTGGGCAGTAGGTGAAAGGGACAAGGTAAGACTCCAGAACAAAAATCTCAGGCATACATTAATCTTGAGGATCTGGGAAGGAATGGATTAAAGCTAAATGAACAAGAAAAACGGGGAATTCACAAATGCCAGAGGATACAGCACTATGTATTGTCTAAAGTCAATTCAAATATCAAGCTGTGGACAGAGCAGAGTCAGGCAGTTGTAAGGAGTCAGTAGGCAGCCTGCCGAGATGCGTGTGATCTAGAGGGGCCGGAGCGGGCTGCTGAGAAGACAGGGGTAGAGGACAGCAACCAGGGAAACATCTTTATACTGCAGTAGTGTTCTGTCTCGGCCACTGCCGCCTTTGGCCTGTGGCCTTGATGGCGATAACTATAAACAGCTGGATCGAGAATGTGGGGATGGGAGCAGAGTTCTTAGACTACGACATTTCCCACAGAGGGACACCGCTCAGAGCTGGACCGGGATCGAGTGAGTCCAAGGAGGTATTCAAAATGGCCATGACTACTGTGAAATGTTGCTTTGAAGTCAGGGAAGGTGATCTTGGTAGTGCGGTTTCAGTAAAGCGGTAAGGTTGCAAATAACATGGCAGGGACTTAAGGAGAGGAGTAAGTAGCAAGAAAGGAGAGGTAGTGGACAGACCATTCAATTCTGGAAGTTTGCCCGTGAACGGAAGAGGAGAAATGGGATGGAGGCTCGAAGCGCAGTGGGGTTGGTTTGTTTTCTAGTGGGGGTGGTGGATGTGTTGGAAGGCAGAGGGAAAAGGAGTAAATCGAGAGGGAGGGACTGAAGGTGTCTTTGGAGTGGGGAAGTAATTGAATGATCAGGATCTTCGAGAACACTGAAGGGTTAGTACACTTTGGAAAAGATAAAGGAAACATTTTAAAAACTGGAAATGAAGACAGTGTAAATAAGATTATAAGTTGTCTTACTGAAAGTTTTTCTTTTCAGAAACAAATTAATTTTGTTAAGGGATGAATAGATTTGACATTTCATGATGATAATAAAGACCTGACTACTTCAATTACACTGTAATTTCAGCTGAGCAGATCTCTTTTCAATGGAATATTAATTAAAAATGGTATTAGCTTGAGCAGCATAGGTACTATCAAGGGCTGCTGAGATCTAACATCAAGGCAGCTAGTTTAGTCATGTAAAGTCATCTTTTAAAAAGTCGGCTGTGTTTTATGATGAAAGAAACTACACAAACAAAGGGGTTACAGTTATTCAAACTTTCCTCTTTTCAGGGGAAATGAACTGTATCATGAAGATAACTGAATTTTCTAAGTTATACTTTAAGAACTTTTTTTACATTATCTACAGCAAAGAATGTACTTAGAAAGTTCCAATTTTAGAATAATCCAAACTATCGTAGTGTTCAGAAATTTTGTCAGATGTCGAGTAGTTTCAGAATTACCGTGCTGCCAGCACGGTACATACGAGAGCGTCATGGAGCACCAGGTATCTAGTGGGTCTTTGGGGTTTACGACCTGCAGAAATTTAAATTTGAAAATTAAGTATCTGTTTGACTGGAGCATTATGCAAATGATTCATTTGATAAATTTCAGGCCATTTACTTTTGATAATTGTTTTTTAAAAAAGCCTTTAAAACTCTTATTTTTAACAGTAAAATCTGTTTCGTTTCACTCCTCTTTTCTCTTTAGAGGTGTATATAAAAGGAGAATGCCTATTTTGTGTTTATGAGTGTCTAATTACTGTTTTGCAGTACGGCATGTTGCTTGCAGGTTGGTGTGTATGTGTGAAAGCTTAGCTGTTTCGGAAGAAGGTATTCGAAGACACATTTTGGTGAGTCCTAAATGAACGAGGAGAGAGTGCAGGTGTGATGAGACAGTCGGCGTGCCTATGAAGATGGATGCAGTTAGCGTAAACCCGAGGGGGTTACGCCCTCAGGGCTACCCAGGTTCCTTTTATGATTCCTGCATCGATTACAGTGAAGGTCTCGGCAGTGTTATAGTTGTTACTATAGTGATTCAGCAGACTAAGTATCAAACTTATAATTCAGGATTTATGAAAATTAATGAAAGTAATAAAAGGAATAGTTCTCTGCTCCATCCCTCCCTACTCCATCTCCCTCCCCAGAGGCAAGTATGTTTTTTCAGTGGAGAATATTTTTCCAGTGTTTTAAAACAATATTCATTGAAAATCTCCAATGTATACACAAAACAAGTAAGACCGTGGATTCCCCTATTCACGCATCACTCAGCTAAAGTATTCTTCAACACATGACCGCTCCTGTTTCTTCTCTAGCTCCTCCAACAGGAAACCTCCAGCCCCATGGATTATTTTGAAACAAATCCAAAATACATTATTTTACCCATACGTGTCTCCAAATGACGAGATATCTTTTTTATTCAAACAAACCCAGTACTCATGATGACACTCGATAAAATTTAACAAAGATTTTTTTTTCTAAAATCATAAATATACAGCACCTCCTGCCTTGCCTGCCCTGCTTCTTCTCCCTCTCTCCTCCTCCAGATGGTTTCTTAGAATCAGGATTAAAGAAAGTCTACACCTTGTGTTTTATTAATATGTCTCTTTTAATCTACATTTCTCTCCCTCCATTTAAAACAAATGTGTTGATTAAATTTATTTCTTGAAGAAACCAGGTCGTTCGTCCTATAGAGTTTCCTAAATTTTGGATTCAGATGACTGCATGCTCACGGTATCATTTAATGTTGTAGTCCTCTATCCCGTTTTCCCTGTACTAGTAGATTTAGAAGCTTGAGTTGATTCAGGTTCAATTTTGTCAAGAACGTTTTGAACTTTTATCCTTAGGACGTAATCCATTAGGGATGTACTGTCAAAACTTTGTTTAATATTATTAAAGGTTGTTTTCCAATTACTTGAAATAATTTCTTTCTCTTTGATTAAGCTATCAACTTCATACATAGTTAAGTTCAAATTTTTTCTATTTGCTTTGGATTTTTAGCAATTGCTTTTTCCCCCTTGTTGATTGAATTTTATTTTATAATTATGGAAAATATATACATGGCTCTGAAGTCAAATCTACTAACGGAGGTATGTTCAGATAAGTTGACCTTCTATCTTTGTTCTCTCTACCTTGTTTTCTTCCTGTCTCAGTAGTTGACTCTTTTGTTTATTTTATTGTTTATCCTTTTTTAATTTTAATTTTTAATTCTAGTTGACATTCAGTAACATATTAGTTTCAGGTGTGCAGCGTAGCGGTTAGACATTTATATAACTTACAAAGTGATCCCCCCGATAAGTCTTGCACCCACCTGACACCATGTATAGTTATTTCTCCACCTTTTTTAAAGTCCCGTTTAACATTATATCCTAGAGATCACTCCATAGCAGTGTAAAGAGATATTCCTCGTTTTTTATACCTACATAATATTCAACAGCTGCACATACCTTATTATATTCCTCTTCGATGGACATTCGTGTGCTGCAGTGAATTGCGTCATGCAGATGTCTTTTCTCATTTTGAGGATATCATTCATAGCCATTTCTGTTTTCACTTCTGGTTATCTCCGTGTATCTTAATCATATATATGCTTGTATCACTGTTTTAGTTTGCTAGGGCCGCCGTAACAAAATACAACAGACTGCATAGCCTAAACAACAGAGATTTATTTTCTCAAAGTTCTGGAGGCTAGAAGTCCAAGATCAGGGTGTTGGCAGGTTTAGTTTCTTTTGAGGCCTTTCTCCTTGGCTTGCAGATATTTGATTTCTGTCTGTATCTTCATATGGTCTTTGCTGTTTGTGTTTATCTCTGGTGTCTTGTTGTGTATCCACATTTCCCACTACAAAAACACCGGTCTGATTGGATTAAGGTCCACCCTTATGAGCTCCTTTTAACTCTGTCAACCCCATTAAAGACCCTGTCTCCAAATAGTCACATTCTGAGGTACTGGGAGTTAGGGACTCAACATACATATTTTTGGGGGAGGGGACACAATTCAGTCA